CATCTTGTTTCTTACGTTTGATTTTTGGTCAAACTCAAACCCATGCACATCCTTTTATGAGAGGATCATTTACTCACAAAAGTCACTTTTTCTTTTTCTCTTTTTTTTTTCTAATAAAAAGTGTCATTCTCTTTTTAATATAACTATATGTCATTTGGAATTGACAAGACAAATGCAAATATTATCAAATTTAACTGTAAATAGCTATCTTAACATTTATTTAAAGTTTTTATCTATAATTTCCATTTTCAGTCCCTCTAGAGAACTTACGTTCTTCTTATTTAATTATCAAAGTGCATAGAAAAATGACTTGTGATGTCATAATCTAACCACAATTGTTTATCCTTCCATCCATCTTCTATTAAAATTCTAATATTTGATTGTCTCTGAATAATTCATTTTCATTCATTTTTCTTTTTTTTTCATATTTATTTCTTGTTTTTATTGTCCAAATTGATTCTCTTAGCTCAGTTTTCAATATGTTTATTAATACCTCTCACCATGTCGGAGTACTCTTTTGGTTACATTTTTTAATCAGATTTCATTTCAATAAATTAATTACCTGTGTTTAAATTAATAGTATTATTTTTTATATTTATTTTTATTTAATAAGATGTTACACATAAAAATAAATATAAAATAATTTAATTATTAAAGGCATTTAAAAAATATATTAATTTTATTTTAAAACACTAAAAATATTTTATATTTGTCAACATCTAACCACTTAAAAATACCTTATATTTTTAAATAGAAGAAGTGCTATTCATTTTTAGGAAAGCTCCTATAATTTTATCTCAGCTATTTGCTCTTCTCTTTATTATCCATGACCAATTTACCAGTTTTGCAATTTTATTTACTCCCTCCGTTCACAAATATGATGCACTTTATTAAGGTAAGATATTAAACAATATAAAACATTTTGAATCTTTTCAAATATAATTAATGAAATTTGTTTTGAAAGAAAATCCTTAATTTGGAGTGTAATTAACAATATTTTTAATTGAAAAACTCTATTGAATATGAGTAAAAATGTAAAGAGTATTTAATTTCGAAGACAATTAATCATCTCATGGGAAGTATAATTTCATTAAAAATGTCTTATAATATTGAAAAGATGTAGTATGTATTTTTTTTCATTTGACACATTTAATAATTAAATACAATGAAAGAAAATCAAATTATAATTAGCGTACCAGCTTTTTCTTTCATGTATTCTGTTCATGAATCACAGGTGATAATATATGATACTGACCCAAAATTTGATTATGTAAAATATTATGTTATTCATTAGGTTTAATGATGTTTTATTGCTACATTTTACTGAAAACAGTGATTAACATTAATATATTTAGTATCAGTCACAGCATACCACATTTAAATATGCCAAAAAAAAAATTGACGGAAAACATCTTCTTGGTAGTCAGAATTTATTTAATTAGTAACATTTGAAGCGATGAGCCGTTCAAGGATCATTAATTCATTATTCGTACTCCACAAGTGGGAATCTAGCCCATTTTATTTTATTCTTATGAAAAAGGAGTCACAAAATCAATATGATCAGCAACAATAATTTAAATCCTTTTAATTATAGCAGCGATGATAGTATAGCAATTATTTGGACGGTATGTGGCTTTAAGTGGAAACAATTCCTTTTCAGCCATGAGCGTCATCACCAAACCAGACAGATATACATATAATGACAAAAAGTGGCAATAAACATAAGACAACATGATATTTTAGAGTTAAAAAGATCAATACTTCGATTCCTTTTAAAGTATTTAATACAATTGTATCGCTTGTGAAACTCAATAAACATATTTCACATTTATTCTGTCAATGCAAAAGAAGTCGAGTTTGAATTTGCCACGTGAGTAGAAAATGAAAGTGCAATTAGTGTTCAAATTACGCGTGTGGTTTATGGCTGGGCCTGAGGATATCATTGAAGAGGTCAGGTGGAGAATTTTATTCCGTCCCAAAAATTCAAACAGCTGAAACTTCAAAGCAAGGAACATTATTAATCACATTTTATTTGACGCCTGAAAACCTGAGAAACAAGGTGAAGGTGGCTTCACTCTGATTTTTAATGTTTCGTTGTTGTGCTGAGTGGCTATGCGAGACGGCTGCTGCATTTCCTTTTACTTGTAATAAAATAATGTGTCGTGGGAATAGCGTCAAATAAAATGTGATTAATAATAATTCATTGCTTTGAAATTTCAGCTGTTTGAATTTTTGGGACGGAATAAAATTCTCCAGCTGGCCTCTTCAATGATATCCTCAGGCTCAGCCATAAACCACACGCGTAATTTGAACACTAATTGCACTTTCATTTTCTACTCACGTGGCAAATTCAAACTCGACTTCTTTTGCATTGACAGAATAAATAGAGCTGAAAATTCGGGTGGGTCGGGCTTATTCGGGCTCGAATAAGCCCGAATCCGAACAAGCCCGCTTCCTCAAAAAGCCCGAATAGCCAAGCCCGACCCGAATTCCTTCGGGTTTCGGGCGGCCCGAATACCCGAATTTAATTTTTAAAATTATTTTTAATTATTTTTTTACTTTGAAATTAATTATTTTATTTTATAAAAAATATAAAATATATTTTTTTAATACTTAAACGATGTCTAGGACTCAAATATATGATATTTTAGTATAAAATAATTTAAAACTTAAAGAATTAATTAATATTTATTATATTATATATATTTTTAAAAAATATAATTTTTTATTCAGGTATTCGGGCCAAGCCCGAACCCGATTGAGCTTGGCCAGAATTTTTTTCAAAGCCCAATCCTAAAATTTTTCGAGCCAATTCGAGCTAGCCCGTCGGATTTGACCCGAATTACCGGCTCAAAGAATAAATGTGAAATATGTTTATTGAGTTTCACAAGCAATATAATTGTGGTAAATGCTTTAAAAGCAATCTAATTATTGATCTTTTTACCTTCAGAATAACATTCTCTCTCATGTTTATTACCACTTTTTGACGTCATGTATATCTTTCTGGTTTGATAGTGACGCTCTTTACTGGAAAGGGGTTGCTTTCACCCAAAGCCACATTCCATCAAAATAATTATTATAATATCATCACTGCTATAATTAAAAGGAATTAAATTATTGTTGCTGATCATACTGATTTTGTAACTCTTCTTCTGTAAGAATAAAACAAAAACAGGTTTGATTTTCATTTAAAGTCAGAAATAATCATCGAGTAAGAAATGCTGCCATTTTAACCCTCGCTTTTTTTTTAAATTCAAACTTAAAAATTTGACAGTTAAAAAAAAAAGTAGGCTTTGAAGCCTGATCTAACAGGCCATAAAAAAATAACTTAGGATCCACACTTAGTTTCTTTTCTTTTACTCTTCTTCACTCCTCACCAAAACACAGTGCCTCACAATGAAACCCTAAGTCCCTAAGGTCTTGTTTAGTATAAGATATTAAATTTTAAAATATTAAGATTGTGAGTGAGATTGAAGGTGAGAACAAGTTTTAAAATTATGTTTGGTATGATATAGGATTAAAAAAATATAAATAATAAGACTTAAGTTTAATGAAAAAAAATAGCCAAAGAAGAAACAACATTGTCCCCGTCTTCTTCATTATCATCATCCTCTTTCTTGCGGCAAGTTTCATCATTGAGCATTTTCTTCTTCATCTCTCTCTCTTGCCACAATCTCTACTATTGAAGCATATTTTCAATTCCAAAGCAAAAAAAAAAAATTGTGGATATGGGTCTCATTCAAGCAAACACAATGAAGTTGAACAAGAATGCATAAAGCCCAACCAAAAAAATTTCAGATATGCCTTTCTAGAAAGTAAACCCGACAACACAACTCATGGATCTGGGATTGAAGAAGTGGCCACTGCTAAATTAGAATTAGAAACTTGATTTCATGAACCCATGATTTGAAACCTGATTTTATGAACCTAGAATTAAAGAAGGAATGATGATAAATCCAGAAGTAAATAGACAGAGGGCAAAGAGTCGCTCAACATTCGCCGACTTAACTTCTGTTCGCACTCACATCGACATTTTGTCCTTGTCAAGAGATAACGACTGTCTCTATTATCATTGGAGTCATTTTTAATGGAGGACCATGTGAGGTCGGGGATGTTGGAGGAGATCCCATGTGTGATGATAGAAGAGGAGTAATCGTGATTTTGGGGAGGGAACAAGTTCAATTGGGCAACTTTTTTATGAGGGCATTTTGATCATAAAAATTTCAATGCTAAAATTAGGAATAAGTTTGTTACTACCACCTATTTGACATAAAAACTTGTACCACCCAATCTTGAGCCCAGTCTTACTTAGTCAATCCTGTGTGCCAAGCATATGGTGTATTTGCATAATTAAGGCTTGGCAGTTGGAATTCACTTTGCAAATTTTGGGATGTTAAGTATTGTTTGACTAATTTTTAGGTGAGTAAAATGACTTTTTAAATGTGAGTTAAAATATGGTTAAAATGTAGATTTGCCAAGTCTATTTTTTGATTAATTTGAAATTACAAGTGGGAGTTAGGTTGCACCTATTTTTGTAAATGACCATGGTGCCCTTATTATGTTTTAAAATTTTTCAATATTAAACTATACATTTTTTATTCTTATTATTTAATATATTAAATTTTATGTTATTTTAATTTTTTTACATCTTTTAAACATTTTTAATATATCATTTTTGCATAATAAAAATTAACACTTATCATAAATCAACGTTTTTGGGAGCATTATATATCTAAAAGGATATTTTTTAAAAGCACAAATCATTATTAATTTAAATAATCATCAGTTTATCAAATCAAAATTTTTTAAAAAATATATTTAAATATAAATTTTATTATAATAACTAATTTTTATTAAATTAATTTTTATTTAATGAATTTTTTTTTGATTATAAGATCATGGTAAAGTTGTATAGGAGATTATAATTTAATTATATTTAAAACCATAAGGATGGTACAGTTAATCGGAGGAATATTTATTCAATGAATTTTCAGCCGATCAACTTTTGACAAACTCAAACAAACCCATAGAAGCCTCTGGCTCAGTCTCAAGCACTCACTCCCTCTACCCCTCACAGACGACGGACACAAGTGCACAGCTACGCTCACGCCTCTCAGACCCGCCATCTTGGTGCTCTGCTTCCGTCACGGCTCACGGTGCTCTCATCTCCGTCTCCTCCCTCATCCGTTCGCGGCAAGTTGGCTTCACTCGCTCTCGCTCTCAGGTAGTTCTCGCCTCTGCCTTTGTTCTCGGCATCCCTGGTACTCGGCGTCCCTGACGGTATTCTCGCCTCTGTTCTCATACTCAGCGCCCCCTGCATGAGAAGATGGGTTCCATTGATGCTTAACTGAGGTTTCTGGCGCTGGGAAAGGTGTTTGATTTTTGCCCCCTTTTCTGTTCTGTACCTCTTAACTTGGTTTGTTCTCATATTCTTGGCTTGTTTTGTTTGTTGGAACTTGGAAGGATATTTTCATCAAAAAATTGTAAGACTAAGTTAAGCCGTCTGTTTATATGTGTCGTGGAATCGCCTCCTCAAGTATCTTTTGTTGTTTTTGGGTCAAGGGAACATGATTTTTGTGTAACTGATTTCTTAGAGTTTTTTTATGAAGTGATGAACTTTATTGTCTTTCAACATGATTACTTTGTAAGGCCTATGTTTTCGTTTTGATTAATGTTGTAAATTTGTGATGCACAAGGTTTTGTATTTATCGGTTTTGATCAAGGTTCTGGATCTGATTTGTATTTATTTATTTATTATTAACTATTTATTTATTTTGAACTTTAAATCCTGCCCGAAACAAGTGTAGCGAAAGGGAGACACTTTGAGGGTTCTGGTCTGGCTCTGATCTACAGAGCGCGCGGCCATGGCAGGCTCCGTTCCGAATAGCAAGGGCTCCACTTCTTCCAATCGTAAAAATTTTCGATGCCATCACTGTGCAGGGCCCCTCTCGAAAGATATGGTATTTCATAACTTATCCTACTTCCCTGAATTGTCTTCGGTTTCATACAAATGTTTAGTTGGTCTCTTTATCTGCAGGAAACCAGTGATTGGACCGTTTCACCCCTCATTAGGGATAGCTTTTCTATGGTGAATTCTTCGCTCTTGGTGGCTTGCTTAATTTTATTATCGAAGTTAGTTCGATTTAGATGTCTGGTTGGGGAAAAAAATTTTGACCATAAGATCCTAACTGTGTAGGGATGAGCACTTAATTTATCTGAATTTTATGGCACCTGAACTTTAAGCCATCATTTTCGGATTCAAATTTTGTGCAGATTGGTTCAGCGGTTGGTGGCACGGCAAGTGCATTTTATGGATTTAACCACGGTTTGTAACATTAACAGCCATTTTTTATTTGTAGTTTGGATTGAATAGCACGATGAATGAGATCATTTCTGTTGTATTACTTTGTTCATGGCATTTATATAAAGACAATTGATGTTTCAAAGTGAAAGAATGAGAATTTTAAGTTTCATATTAACGACCAACACAATTACTTTCAAACAAGAAACCCAGAAACATAATGTTTTGCTCCCTTTCTTGGATCATTGCACTTCTGCCACAGACTTCCTGAAGTTCGTTGAGCTCACATGTTATTCACATGTGTAGAGTATGAATTATTTATTTGAAGAGATTTTCTTCTTGTCTAATGCAGTTATGCCGGTTGTTCGAAGATGGGTAAAAGGACCCATGTGGTTGCATTTTCTCGTGGGTGTACGTTTCTTACTACTCACTTCTCCTTCTTTTTGTAAATTTTTGATTCATGCTGTAGTATGCAATAAAAGCATTGCGGTAGAAGTTTTGAAATCTTTACCAAATATATGGCCACATTTATATACTTGACTGTGAATTTGGAGCTCTTTCTTCTTTCCTTCCCAATAAATGACACGATAATAAAGCTTTGGTGGCAACTTAACGTGAACTGTTGAGTGCAAGAATAGCCACAAATCTCCTATAATGATTCTTGTTGGGGTGAAATAATTAGACCATGGTTGCATTTCTTCTACACATGAGGGTTGAGACTTTTAACAGACAGCTATTTTTATTGGATTCCCTGACTATCTCCATTGAACACTGCATTTAACCATTCATATGGGCTCAACAGGAGTCCCCACGCTAGACATCCTTCATTCCTTCACTACTCTATAAATTATTTTTCTCTTCAAACCTGTCATAGAAAGCAAGCAAACTGATACGTCATTCCAAAGTTGGTAATTATTTCTGCTGTAGAATTTTAAAATCGAAGAGCTCTCTCTTGAGAGTTGAGATTATCAATTTGTGGTGACCACGATTGCTACATACTCACTTGAAGGGATCATTATCATTTGGATATTTTTGTTACTTTACTAGGGGTGGGATGGCACTTTTAAAAAAAATATATTCTTGAACCGACCATTTTGATAGGTTATTTAACACAATATCTGAACTTGGTTTCAGTGACCAGAATCACATTCCAAAAACACCGAATTCCTGTGGAGTCATTTCTTCTTGGTTTAATAGCCTAGTTTTTATGGTAGGCTGAGGTTCCTATGGCTATTATACAATATTCTATGGCCTAGTTTTGAATGCAGTTTCTTGCGCACTGATTTATGTGATGATTGGCCTTGTTCATAATGATATATTTGGGGCATCTTTCGTATATTGGTGTATTTGAAGCTGAGAACATATGTGGAACTTGTACATGTATATGGTGTGGCTGCAGTACTTTTAGGAGTATACTTCCTGCCTATTTAATGTATTGAATGCTAGTATTTTAGTCATCAACTTACTGACATAAACCTCTGCAATTCAGACGCCACCTGTGATTGTGTTCTCTTCAGCCTGTGCAGGTCTGACAGGTAAATCTCTAAATGAGTTGTTTTGCTCGATTTACATACTCTAAATGGTCTTTAATTTTTAAGTCTTGTACTAATTTTTTTGTTAAAAGTAATGCCGAAATGGTCCCTTGTCTTTTATTTCGTCCCACAAATGCCCTAAATTATCATATTGATGAACTTAATTGATTGGTTGATGGTGAGATGACTGAAAATATGCCTGAAGGTAGTTGGCTTTCTAGCGGTCCAATTTCTGGAAACCCTAGGTGAAGATCGAAACTTAGGGGAAAAATTATGAACAATTTGCAAAATTAACAATCATCCGGGTTTCATCTTAATAGCGACTTGTTTGCTGGACCTCACTTTATGGTTACTTGTGGGAAAAAAATAAGGAAACAGGAACCTCTATAGCATTTTAATTTTAAAGGGCTAATTTAAAACTTCAGATTTAAGGGGCCAAAAGATTAATTTAACCAATTGTTTTCACATTTAACAATTTGATTTGTCCAAACGCTAATGTCTGAGGATGTACCTGTTCTCAGGATGATTTGTGTTTGTGATGTTAATCATGAGATGGCCGTTCAATTGATACTAATTTTAAGTGGTCTCCATCAGCCAGAGCACAGTAAATAAAGGAGACTCGAAAATCGTTTTCATGTTCAAGTGGTCATTTAGCATTTAGGCCCACTCGAGAGCATGTGCATGTGCATGTGCATGGATAGAATAGGAAGATTTGACCTGCCCTTGAAAAATCATTTTGATGTGGATTTACCAATTACTGTGCTCAGTTAATGATATCATGGCTAAAAAAACTGCAGGTGGGGCTGTTCCTGCTATAGCACAGCTCGTTTCATCGTCGTATCATGCAGCACGCTCATCCCGTACCCTACCTCCGCCTGCAAACGATGAGAAGATTCACAAGTCTAGAACTTCCTCCACTCTTTAATTTAGCTATACAATGGCTTTCTTCCCCCAGGGCAGGCATGCACGTTGGTTGAACAAAGAAAGCTTTGTTTTCCTCTTGTAAATGACGTCCTTCATTTTTGTCCAGTTCTGCGCGAAGCAACACTTGCGTGAAGTGTGAACCTTGTATTGAGGTCACATTGTTTATAAGTAGGAGACCTTGTGAATTTTTTATTTTTTTGGGGTCAAAATAGAAGACCTGTGATTTAGTTCTTATAAAATTTTAAAAGCATGTCCCTCAAGTGTCCTTATTTCTCCGCGTCCTTATTGGACAGAACCTTTTTTAGGCCTTAAAGGAAAAGGTTGCAAGGCACGGTTCTGTTTCAGATATTTTTGGCCCAACTCCGCTTTATGCTCACGGATGAGGTTGATCTTTGAGTTTTGTAGAAAATAATTCTTTGGTGTACTGTTTGGATTTTGGAAACTAGACGATCCAAGGAGGAAGTAATACTAATTTATCATATTCTAGAGGCTTCAATGAACTTTCTATTTGTTTTTACCAACACGAAGATGGAAAATAAAATATAAAATCTTGTGCATCACAAATTTACAACATTAATCAAAATGAAAAAAAAAAAAAGGCTTACAAAGTAATTATGTTCAAAGGCAATAAAGTTCATCAATTCATAAAAAACTAAGAACTCAGTTACACAAAGCAATAAAAGATCTCTGAGAAGGTGATTCCACGACACATATAAACAGATGGCTTACCTTAGTCTTACAATATTTTGATAAAAATATCCTTCCAAGATCCAACAAACAAATCAAGCCAAGAAATATGAGAACAAACCAAACCAAGAGGCACAGAACGGAAAAGGGGGCAAAAATCAAACACCCTTCCCAGCGCCAGAAACGTCAGTTGAGCATTAATGGAACCCATCTTCTCGTACAAGGGACGCCGCGTATGAGAACAGAGGCGAGAATACCGTCAGGGACGCCGAGTACCAGGGATGCCGAGAACAAAGGCAGAGGCGACAACCACTTGAGAGCGAGAGCGAGAGCCAGTGAAGCCAACTTGCCGAGATCGAGAAAGAGAGGCCGAGATCAGGTGAGGGAGGAGAGGGAGAGGAGAGCACCAAGATGGCGAGACTGAGAGGCCTGAGCGTGATTCTGTCTGTCGTCTGTGAGGGAGAGGGAGTGAGTGTCTGACACTAAGCGAGAGACTTGCACCCTGTTCGGAAGATTTTGGGGATGGGAACCGAGGGGAATGATTAAAAAGCTTAAATCACTGTTCGTGATTTTTTTTTTTTTTTCAATGGATGGAATGATTGGGAAGGTTTCATGCACAATTTTTATTATTTTTTTTAAACCCAAATTAAAGAATAAAAAATAAAATGACATAATATAATTATTTTATTTATAAAATTATCCCAGCCTTTTACTTTAATAAAAAAATCTCATTTATTATTTTTATTATTCAAGTATCTCTTTCACCTCTCACCATAACTCTTTCACTCCCACCATCCCTCCTTATGATTTTGCTGCATTTTCTTCTTATATGATAGGTATGTTTGTTTGAGTAATTTTGTTATTTATTTTTTTATTCAAAATTCTTGAATATATTATTTGATCATTAATTTTAATTATTATTATTTTTTATTGGACAAATATTATAATTATTTAATGAACATTGTTTTTTTTAATTTAATCATGTGGATAACATTAAAAGAAAAAGAAGGTTTAATTCATTTCATTCCATTTATTTTATAATAACTCTCAAATAATGACCATGTAAGGCCTTTTTTTCTATCATAAAACTCTCAAATAATAAAAAATTTGTTATATTCCACTCCATTTTATTGATGACCGTTTCACTTCATTCAATTCTAAACTTTCAAATGCACTTTTAGAGACTTTAGAATTTCATTGTGAGGCACTGCATTTTGGTGAGGAGTGGAGAAGAGTTAAAAAAAAAATGAAAAATGAGCTTGGAGAGTTGCCCAAGTTAGAGTCTTTTCTTGCAAGACCGAAGTTAGGCTTTGAAGCTGAATTTTTTTAAAAAATGTCAATTTTTTAAGTTCAAATCTTTATAAGAATGAACTTAAATCAGTGGTCTTTTAAATGTGATTTTTATTTCCAACTCCAAGCGGGAATCTAACCCATTTTTTATTTTTTATTTTTTGGTTTTGATAAGCTAACCCATATTTGTTTTATCCTCACAGAAAAAGTCACAAAATCAGTATGATCAGCAACAATAATTTAATTCCTTTTAATCATAGTAGTGATGAAATTATAATAATTATTTCAATGGAATGTGGCTTTAGGTGAAAGCAATCCCTTTCCAGTCAACAGCGTCATTATCAAACCGGATAAACATACACGATGACAAAAAGTGGTAATAAACATCAGAGAAAATTTTATTTTAAAGGCAAAAAGATCAATACTTAGATTCCGTTTAAAGCATTTAACACAATTATATCGCTTGTGAAACTCAATAAACATATTAGGCGAGTAGAAAATGCAATCTGTATTCAAATTAGGCGAGTAGTTTATTATGGCTGGAGATATTTTTAAAGAGGTCTGCAGAATTTTATTATGATCCAAAAGCTGAAACTTCAAAGCAATGACTATTATTAATCACATTTTATTTGACGCCATTCCCACGGCACACTGTCATTGCAATTGCAAGTAAAAGAAATTGTAGACGCACTTGCGTATATCCAATGCGCTTTTTAGAAGTAAGACACTTCTGACCCAATTTGTAATTCAGTTCTGGAGAAGCTTTAATATTATAAAATATAAAATACTTTGATAAAAAATATTTTTTAATATTATTCTTTCAATTATATTTTTTTTGATATTCTTTTAAGTATTAAATGAAAAGTATTTTTAAAAGTTTATATTTTAATCCTGAACAAGTAAAATTGTAAGGCATATTTAATAAATTTTATTAATATATGTAATTTTATTTAAAAATATCTTATAAATTGGGATAGAAAGAATATTAAACATTCTCTCATGTCTTAAATATGCCGCTGCATCCTAAATTCTAACTATCTTATCAAGATTAATAATAGTTAAGCTCATTAAACTGGTCACATATTGATACTATTTTTCTAAAAACTTGATGCGTTAAACGTTTAGGGAGATGACTTGCATGTATTTGACATCATCTCCATCTTTTGTCTCACGTCATTGTCTTATAAATGAGAGATCGAAGGGAGTAATACATTCAAAACAGATTCCCCCCCCCCCCAAACCCCTTTTTGGGTATATACGAGGAAGTAGTATACTGTGAAACGGCTAATCCGAACCACAAAAAAAAAAAAAAAATCTAACTTTCACTCTTTCAACGAGTCATTTGTTTTATGTGCGTGCGCCATGGAAATGTATTGTGCTTGAGATGTATCAGCCTATCGGGCTATGCTTGGTGAAAGAAAGGCTTCAAGAAATTACAGTTACAATTACTCAACTGAAGTTTTGAAACTTTTGATTTGCATTCGGTGTTTATTGCAAGTGATGAGCACGCGGTCAGGAACAATCTTAATTCTTCATTTCAGTCCAAATTAATTTCTACCATCTACTTAAATTAATCTTTAAATATTTTTAATATTATATTTATTAATATAAAAAATTTTAAAATTTTAATAAATATGTTCATTACTAATCTAACCACTACAGATTTAATCTAATAGTTCAATTTAATATTAAAATTTTTTATAATTTTATAATTTAACTGTTCAAATAAACTTTGGACAGTTCAGATATAATTAAGATAACTTAATTTAATATTAAAAAATTTATAAATTTTACAAATTAATCATTTAAATGTATTATAAATAGTTCAGATTTAATATCAATTTTTTTATATTTTTTAATAAATATTCCCTCCGTCTTAAATTATAAGACACTTTTAGACAAAATCTCACATACCAATAAACCTCATTAAATACACCTAGCAATCTTATATTTTCAAAATAAAAATATAAATTTTTTAAAATATCCATCATTTAATATAATGAAAAGAGAAGTGATAGAAATTAATTATAGAGAGAGAAAGAGTAATATTGAAATTGGAGCTTTAATGAAACCTTTATCCACTCAAAGTATTTTATATTTTGGGATGAAAAAACTCCTTTAAAAGCGTGCAATAATTTGGGACAGAAAGAGTATAATATTAAAAATATTAAAAAATTAATTTAAATGGATAACATGGATCTTGAATCGAAATGGAAAGCAATGATTGTTCCTGGTAAGCATTCAGTGCTCATCACAATAATAAGTACCAAATGCGGATGCTTGAATCTTTCTCAATATCTTATCCTTGATCAATTCTATTACTAGATTAGAGGTTTTTTTTTTTTTTTTTAACGAAGGATTGGTTTGTTATTTTTAGACACATGTTTAAAGAAGCCGATAAACATGAAAATTAGTTGGCCCATGTTCATAATATTAAGACTAAAGTGATGTTAAACTTAGTAAACGGCCCTGCAAAGCGGGTGAAAAAAAAGGTGATGGTGTCACGCTGTATGGTTTTCTATAACTTTTGTTTAGCTCCTTTCAATTCTTTTTTTTTTTAGGTAAGTAGTAACTAATTAAACAAACTCCTCTAACTAATGACTTTTATGGAGGGTAATTGTGAATTTTTTTAAAATAATAACTGATTTCAACAGGTTTTCTGAATTCAGGTAAAGTTTTTTATAAGTGCTTATAAAATGGATAGGACGCAGTATAATATAGTGAGCAGGGTCTATGCACCGATGAAATGTGGCAACATGTGCACAATGTTGAAAGGAGACAACAAAAGTGACATGGTGTGGTTACGCCGTCCGCTTCAAGCATGTGCGCTTGAATAAAAAGGTTGCATCATAACTCTCAAAACCCACTTTTTGATTGGCCACATGATAATCATGGCTGAGGATAAAAGATCCTCCCCCACTGCCTAGGTAATGTCTTAGATAAGTGATTGGTAGGAGGATTATTGGAGAAGGATGGTGATGTTCCTATTATGCATGATGGGAGGCCTTCCTCCATTCTTGTCACCGTATTCATCACTAATTACTAATTCCACCTTCATTAGCTGCCACTAACTTTTGTATCAATTAAAAATTTTTATAATAAGGATTTAATTTATTCTTAACCACGATATAATTGGTTTCTTGTTTGTACCAACTTCCTCATGCCGTTTCAACATTCATGTATGATCCATTTCTAAGAATGTAGCACTATTCAACATACATTCGTTATCCTGATAAATGTTTTCTTCTGATTTGAAATCAAACAATCTTCATTTCACTGTGACTGTATGCCTTCTGGGTAGAAGTGTCTTCTCCACATATTCAGGCCATGTCAATAATATTCTCAATAAAATAACATAGAATCTCGTGCCAATTTTACCATAGCCTTTCTTTTGACCAGGAATTTAAAAATAGTCCATGTTACTTGATTTTCCAAATCATAATGTTCATTACTATTAGTATCTAATTTCCCAGAGGTTATTTGGATATCACGCTTCTGTTTGAAAGTAAAATGCGATTTTTTGGGTCTAAACTACACAACATTAATACTGATTCGCAATGATCAAATTTCAAAGGCCATTATCGTAGGCGACATGAGCTCAACCAAGGTCGTGCTTGGTCGAAATGTTCTGACGTCTAAAACTTAAAAAGTGCCATCGTTTCAAGAAAGCAACATCGTCTCAATGAAATAATGTCTAGCGAAAAAGCTTATAATCTTAAAATCAAAATGGTTCCTAGCACGAAAAAAAGCATAATTCAACAGTCCTAAATCACTGCCAATCACATAACATAATTTTAAGCAACTTGCTAACAACCATTGAACGTGCCTGGAACAAACAACGATGGGAAAATAGGAAAGAACAAAGTCGGTTGGCCTCGAGGTCTCCTTAAAATCCAAAGTTTACTCCAGACAGCTCCATTTTCTTCGTCTCAATAGAGATCGGCTTCCTTGTGAGTATGAATTACACAATCTGAAGTTGGATAGGAGACACAGGTAAGAACATAACCTCCCTTCATTTGATTGTCATCGAGGAATGAGCCATCAGACTGGTCCACCGAACCAGATACTATCTTCCCAGCACAGGTAGAGCATGCTCCAGCTCGGCATGAATAAGGGAGCTCAATTCCAGCATTCTCCGCTGCATCTAGGATGTAGCTATCATCAGGGGCCTCAAACTCGTTCTCTTGTCCATCAGGACCAATCAACTTAATCTTGTATGCAGCCATGGTAGTTGTCCTAAACGAGAGTGATGACTTCAAGCCACATGTTTTGGGAACACTCCTCACAAATTCAACTGAGGATGGGGACTTAACTACAGCACTGGTGAGTTGGTTTTGGCATGAAACTCGGAACTCGCAATTTGGGGAGAACTTCACAGTTGACAAGGTTGACATGATTAACCTGACAAGGTTGACAAAAGGCATCAGGAGGGCATGTCGTATGCAATGGAAAAATGCCAATAATAGAAAGTGAAGTTGGATTCAGACAGCTTCCTATAAGACTAATATTACTGGACAAATACACTCATTCATAATACCCTTGATTAGAATGTAAAGTACGTTAAAAATTGCAAAGAATAGCATTTCAAGTAACACAGCTGCCGAATTAAACTTGTCACCGTATGTATAGTGAAAATATCAAAAGTAAAATCGAGCACAAAATTACAATTTAAGTATGAAAATGGATGTGTATAAACAGCAATTGTAATCAACAAACTATCTTCAAACAGTGCCTGTAGCCTAAAGCGAGACCAGATAAGTAATAAGATTGTCAAATCTTAGTTGAAATGAAAGGCATTCTGGGAAACAAATTCCCCACAGCCAAATAAGGTTGCGAATGAGAAAAAGAGAGGTGTCCATCCTGTAGCCTAAAGCCAGATACGTAATGGGGTTCGATGCAAATAACTTTGCCTACACCATGTTGGTACAGAAATTTATGCCTTCAAAATTTACAAATAACGAAAATGTCTCCATCCCTTGTTCTTTAAAGAACGTTGGCTTATGGAGCACTGTGGAGAGAAGCAAGCTAATTGCTCCGCTCTTCACAAGAGGCTCCATCATTAATCCATGTCTATAACCACCTCACAATATGGTCTAGCTCTATCGTCACCAATGACAATGTAGCAAGGAAGCATATAAGCTTGAAATTGGAAAAAGTAAATGTGTAGACATATGCAATTATAATTCAACCCTATGGATTTTTCCATGACCAAGACCACACTAAGAAAACAGAGCCATCAGTTCTGGCTCTGGCACTGCATTTCAAGAACAAATAGAGGTAAAGTCAGCACAGAACACAAGTATCTTTCATCTCATGAAAAATCTCCCACGTTATTAAGCTTCCCCTTCCCTGGTGCAGTTTTCAAAAGGCACCATTTGATGGATGGATTAAACAAGAGACTCAAACAATTGTCATGAAAGCATAAACATTTTCATCAACATCACTGTATGAGCTCCCATTTTGTAATCACTGTCTTCCCCCATCCTCTTGTTTTAGTGTGAAAATATCAGAAAAACTAACATTTAAGACAAAAATAACTTAAGCTACTTATCCACACCAGACTAATATGTTATGGCGGGTGCATATTATGTAACTATCGTAAGTCCGTGGCCATGCTTGAACGAAGCTCACGGAGGACTCGGATGGTTCAGCCAGAAAACCTTTTTTTTTTTTAACACTTTCCCTGATCAGCCGTATTAAATCAACTACAGTTTTTCATCCTCCCGCCGCCTGACTACTCATTAGTAAGCTATCACGTAAATGTCTCCGGGGAAACTTCCGATTCGATGCAGATTACGAGTTCGAACTAGGCTATATGACGTTATTTTCAGCGCGTCAGATAAAACCATTAGAAAGGACTTTCCCGGACAGGTGAAACTAATTAATCCACAAAACAATCAGCAAGCAAGAAAGTTGCAACCACACCGGACAAAACACACACGGCACATAAATATGAAGAACATGAGGTAAGCCTGGGAAATCCGAAGATAAAAATAAAAGCAGAATCACAGACAGGGAGCAATCAGCACTGCATGTAAAGAAAAACAACAATAACAAGATTCCTGAGTGTATTTTCGGTGCAGGAAATGTAAAAGTAGATAAGAGTCAGCGAAGCCGAAAGGCAAAACAAAGGAGAAAGAAAAGCAAAAGCAATCAAGCAAACAGAGAGAAGAAGGAAGAGGGAATATAAAGGCGAGAACTGGATCGTAATAATAGGAAGCAAGATTACGAGTTATAACAGCGAAGTGAAAGGCTTACAGAGAGAGAGAGAGAGAGAGACAGAGAGAGTTGCTGAAGGAGCGAGGCAAGAGCGGAGAGAACGAGGAGGTTGAGAACAAGAGTGAAGTGAAGTGAGAGAAAACCCTTGTTTTATTCATTCTCCCTTTTACTCATTCATTCATTCGTAGAGAGTCGGGGGGTTTGGCACGTGACCGAGGTTTGGGGGGTTCGGTGGGTGGGTTAGACGTAGTCAAACATGGAAAAAGATCCGAAAGAGGATCCGTTTCCACTTTCCATCCACCGAAACGCCCACCGTTTTTTCTGTTTTTCCCTGTCGTCACTTTCATTCACCATTTCGTTCCACGTGCATTCAGCATTTGATGGGTATTAATTATAAAGTGCAGCAGAAAATTGGGAAATTCGATTTATGTGACCGTGGCATGCTTGTCCACGGTTTTTCTGCAGTCAGTGTTGAATGTACTCATTTATAATTCCAATTAACCCATGGCTTTAGATTCCGCCATCCTAATTAATGCATATTCATGGTTCTCCCATGTATCCTTCATTGACTTGCCTGTTTTTAAATTGTCAGGTCAGGGCCGTCTCTCCGTCAACCGTGACTTTAAGCATTTTAAATTGTGTGCGCTTGTACAAAAATGAATACCTTTAACTGTACAGAATTTAAAAATATATTTCCAACCACTTCAGTAAAAGTTGAGAAAAACTATTTATCTTTCTCTTACAGTACAATAATTAATAGAATAAAAGGCTCAAAAAAATAGCATTGTTAAAATAAGAGTTGCAATGCAACCTAACAATCTAAATATGAGATGTCTGGCAAGAGAAAGTAAAAGACTGGACACAGTTTCAAAAAAGCGAAAATGTTGCTGGGTTTCGAATCAATTATTTGGTGACAAATAGTTTGGGGAAGGCATAATCTAAAAGAAGATTGGGGGAGATTTTGCCGCTCAGTGCAGTTGTTCGATGAAAAATTATTAGTTTAATCCTATCATGAACATCGAGACTTCAAAAAAGAACCAAACTTGAATGGAAATTTTCAAACTCGAATTCAAAATAAGTTAATAAAAAGTAAATTATTCTGTTTGACATTTAAAATGGAGAAAAAATCACACACACAACTTTATAGACAGTTAATAGGTTCAATGGCTTTAATTATATGAAGCAAATTGATTCCCGTGGAGTCAGATGCCGACTAGCCAACCTAGCAAATTGATTTGCTCGAAAGATAGTATTTTTTTATTATTAGATCGACTCCAGGGATCGTGCCATACCAATCTTTCTCATGGTTACGGAGTTGATCAAACTGCATTCAGAAATAATGAGAATGAGGGGACTGGAGGGAAAGCTTAAACAAAATATTAACCAAAATCACATCTGATATTCATAATGTGGCTAGTATATAACTTAAGATAAACGAAGAACACCAAGATTCTAAAGAGCATTCCAGTCAAAACTGTTACGCCAGATAAGTAGTTCAACTATAAGGACGCTTGATATAACCACAGCAAACTCGAAACAAAGGCAATCAAAAGACGCGATATGATCTCCCCATTGTGCTCTTGAGATACAAGCACCTCACCTGAAATCGACAGAAACCAAACTCATTAGATGACCGCTCCAAGCACATTAAGTATTAACTACATTCAGTCGCCACAATGTATCCGATAGAATAAAAATAGCATCCCGGTAGATATGCAGACAGAACATGGAGATAACCTCGAAGGCTTGAATAGAACCATTAAGACTAGCATTGACACCTAAAGGGCAAAAACTACGAGTAACACGTGATCTAGAAGCTAAAAGGCAGGATGGATTTCGGGTACTGCAGAGAGGATAACTTACATTCTGCCAGTTCTTCTTCAATAAGGACACAAGGAAGTTGACGCTCATTTGTACATTTTGGAAGATTTGTTTCTCCTCCATACTAACATTCCCCACAGCAACTCCCATGCAAAGCACTTTCTTTAGCTGAAACTTAACCATGGCCTTGGTCTCATTAACCTTAGACTCGAGAGATTCTTGGTGAGTAACAAGCGTGGGGAATTTCCCTGCATAATCATGCAAAATAAAAAGATTGGAGTGAATTAATAATTAGGGATTAAAAACTCATAATAACTTCAACAACAGGCTGCCTTGTCCTATGAGCTGTCAATATGAAAATAATAACAATAAAATCCCATACAGTGCCACAGCATACAATCAAATCACAACAAAGACACTCGTGCAATAGATGCATAAGAATAAAATGGGCAACTCGAAGCAATAGTGAATGCAATAAATCATAAGAACCTGTCAAAGAGAATCAAATACAACAAACAATATGGATATAAAAAGCATCAACATTTTATTTTGTAAATTCAAAAGTGACACTTGCCTGCCTTGTTGAGACCAGGGCCCAAAAGACGGGGAATCTGCTTGATGACAGCTTCAGAAGCTAAAAAGGCATGGTATTTTTTGGCAAGTTTCTTAACCAGTTTCTTGTTTTTGTTCAGCTTCTTCAGCGCCTCCACATCCATATAATCCAACCCTATCTTCTCAGCCTGCAGATTCCAGTAACTAACATTAATACAAAGACAAGTCAACAATTAAGTGATTGTTACACAGAAAATGACAACAAAATCTAGCAAAAACACAAGCATGAAACATATAAAATCACCATCAACCAGCAGAAGTGTGCATGTGTGGAACACGTGGAAATAACAAACAATTAGATGAGGTTCATAGTGCAAAAGCATGAGAGAGATTTGATTTATTATTATTTTTTTGCACCGTATGAGAATGACACAGATTGCCACACCGTATGAGAATATAATACAATAACTTTCACCAGAGGAACACTACACAAAAATCAAGCAACAACCAAATTCTGCCTAAATCAAATAAGATCTGAAATAACATGCAGCCCAGTACCATTCTTCTTATAGAATTAAAGACAAAAATTTACAAAACCACAGTCAGGATTTAAAAGTCATCATGTCTCTCAAAAAACAAGAGACCTCGTTCATGATTCCATTTTCCTGATTAAGGGAGATTAGTACCTCTTCGACGTGTTGAGCATCTCCCAGCATGCATATTTTCATCTTGGGGCGAGGAATGTGAGGCAACTTAACAGAACCACTAAAACGCTTATCCTTCTGAGGATCATAGTTTTTCAGCCCAATCTGGAGTTCAATTGTCTCCACAAAATTACGGTTTTTCTCGCTGGAATCCTTCTTGATGTTTGAGATTGCTTCTCTCAAAGCATCACTCTGAAGTTTACTGTACAACAAAGAAGAGGTCAGAACATGAGAATTTTACCTTGAAAATAAACACTTGACCGTCTAAACGCAAAGACTCACTCAATGATTCTAAGACTAAAATGAGCAATGTGATAAAAAAACGAGATTATATTAAGACCAGTGTTTATGAATCCTCCAAAATGGAATTTTGACGAGTTTAGATATAAGTAATGAACTAGATGAAAATGGGAATCAACTTCATAACAACAAGACACTGCGACTAGATAATTTTAGCTAGAGATACATAGTCCATCTCAGTGTTCAACAAAAAATAATTTGCTGCATTTTGATTATGCATGATAAACAGAACGATAGATTGGATATCCACTTGACGATCTAAAAACGGACGGTAGACAAACAGAAACTAGCATAAATACCTCATTTTTTATCTCTGGCCTTTTCGACAAAGCGGATAGAGATCTTCTCCTGCAAACAAAATTGAATCTCATTAAATGAAGAACCCATATAGCAACGTACACGTGAGAAACATTTGATTGCAAGTGAATCGCAGAAAGTCCCAAAAAATGAAATTTTCGAAGAAAAAATAGAACTCCCAATTCTGGGATCAGCAGAGCATAGATAGTGAAAGGAAGATACAGTGTCAAAATCCTTTTTTGTTTTGTGTTCTCGCTAGTATGGTCTCTCAAAGACTGGGCAAGTAGTTGAGGGAGTAGAAATAGTACCCGCGCAAGACGGCAGTCAAGCGAGAAACGAACCTAGAAGTTCCTCTGAAGGCTGAAGCTAGGGTTTTCTGGCAACATTTTAATTCGTCCAGGGATAGAAAGCCATCTGAAGTTGGCGGAATCTGAGCCGTTGAACGATGGAACAGCCACGATCGACGTGAATGTTTAAAGTACCCTCGTGGCACTATCGTGGCTGCTAATTCATTAATGGCCCAAGATCAAACTTAATGGCCTGACAAATCAAGGGAAGGAAGATCAAGAATCATCGGGGTTTTTCCCCCCAATTTGTTAAGAATTGTCTGGGCCCATTTATATAAGATATAAGAATAAATATTTTTAGATAAGTATTTTATAGATATTTTATAAAAAAATATTATATTTTATATTTTAATTGCAATAATAAAATATGATTATTATGTAGTTAATTTTTTTTAGATTTATGATAGTTTCTTGAATTTTTATTTTTAAAAAATAATTTATTATTTAGTTGTTTCACTATTCCATGGTATCTTAATGCAATTTTGCATCTTTATAATATTTTTCTTGACCTATCACATTAGATTATTTTTAAAATAATTATAATATGTTTTTTTAAAAAAATTAAACAAAATTCTTAAACAACCAAGTTGTTTATCATTATTCATTAAGGGGTGGATGAGTAAAATAATTCATGAACTATCAGTCTAGTTCTAGGGTGTGAACTTATTTTTTTTATATATATAATGTTCCCTTTTAACATTTGAAGACAAAGCAATTTGTCCTATGTTGTTAAAGAAAATAACTTGATCTCTAGTTGATCAGAAAATGTCAAAAAAATATAATAGATGGCCCAATTTTTTTGGCCATTTTCTCTATTTTTTTAATTTTTTATGACATTTTTGATTATTTTTTAATTATCGAGTGGTTGGAGTTAATTTTTATTAATAGTAATGGTTATATTACATTATTTTTAGAAATTGAAAAAGAATATTATATAAAAAATAAAAATAAAGTATTGGAAGCTCCTAAGCATTTAGATTAGGAGTCAGTTTACTAATTTACACTTAAACTATTATTATTTTTCAATTCACTACAGCATTTACGGTAGTTGTGTTATTGCATGTTTAATGTGTTTTTTATGTGCATATAATAAATTTTAGAAAAATTAATCTATAGATTTTTATAGTTTTAAATTTTAAATTAGGTTCACATTGTTTATTTTGTTGTAGTCAAATTGTTGTAATTTAATTTATTGGATTTATTAAACTCTCAATGTTAAAATATTTGAATTTATCAATTAAACCTTTGTTTAGAGCGATATTGCTCTAAAACTTTTAAAAATGATGCAATTTTGCCATTTAGTTAACATTGACTCACGTAAGACCATCAAAAGCATATGCTTTTCACATGTTTTTTTCTCCCTTATTTTGCACTATTGATCTTCATCCTTCTCTTAAACTCTCTCGCCTCTCACTCCCTCCTTTGCCCTCTTTCAAACTCTCATCTCTCTCCCCCTCCTTCTTCCTCTCATCCTCCTCTTTCTCCTCCTCTACTAACATCCTCTATGACATTAACCTTCACTATGTGTAATCCCCTCCCATATTCGACGCATGTCACCCCCACCTTGCTCGCCATCATGTAAGGGTAAAGCTGTGGTGTTCCTACCACCTTATTGAACGCGCACACAAACCACTCGATCTCTCCATCACACCCTCATCACCTTATCCTAGCCCAAGTCTTTATGCATGAACCCACATTAGATACCAAGTTTGACCTTACACCCTCTCACAAGCCATCAAACTCACACTCATCACTTTCATTTTAAGTCCCTCTTATCGTAAACTATGTCTACTGGTAGCATCTTGAATACAGGCACCTTCATCTACTCCTTGTGGTTGCTATGATTGTGACAATGTGATGACGACCTTGACATGTGTTTTGCAGATCAACCTTCTCATGTTATTTATCATCTATTATTAATATTACTAATTTGAGTTTAAAGTTTAAAACATTGTTTCTCTATGATGATAAGTCATACACTATAAGCATGCGTTATGCTAAAATATTTCTATAACTTATACTATTTATAATATCTTGTCCTGTCATTTATGCTAATTATGTGCATGTGTTTCATATTATGAAGATAACCATAAGGATTATAAATGGTATAACTTTTTATAGACTTTATATTATGCATTGATGATATTAATAGTGCTTTATGAAAAATAAATTGATTTGCATGAGCTTTGTTTGGAAAGTTTTTTATCATGCGTGGAAAGGGCAAACACTAATTCATTGATAATGACTAGCATGTTATAGTCAAACACGTGTATAGAGGAAGCAATAAATGTATTGATTGGCTTGCTAAATCTAGTTTTAATTAAGGTCATGAGTGTAAAATTTTAAAGGATCCTCCTTTAGAGCTTATTCAATAGTTACATCAAGATGTAAGAGGTCTTAGTAGCCCTAACATTATTAGTTAAACAAAGAATATGAGTATTGCCCCATTTTTTTATATTAAAAAAATAAATAGAATAAAAGAATACTCATAGACCCAATGATTGAGGAATTTTTTCCTTAGTGTCACATCTTTGATAGATAATAGTTCAAGAAAATTACATGTTTATACTTCATTCACAATTTCACGTTGGCCTCGAGTTGTTTTTCCCTACCCATACACTGTTCCCATGTTAAATTTCACTGTATATAACGCTTTATATTCACATGGCATGCATACCCATGACTGTATATTACACAACTCTTTCATCTAGACTGAATTGATTAGAGTAGTACAGTATCATAAATTGTTAAATTAATATTTTTATATTTTAATAAAATACCTTGTTTATGATTAGTTTGATCATAATTTGATTATAATTTTAATTATTAACTCTTTGAATCAGTTATTTGACCGATTCAATTTTAATATCTAGGATTATACACGTAATCTGAATATGTTGATAGTTATATTGGTTTTGATGAAATTAAAAATGGACAATTGGTGACTATAAATATATGCAAAACAAGACCAATGGTTTTTTTGTTTTTTAGGTTGAAGGTTGAGATATTTATTTTAATCCTAAATATAAGACCCTAATCTTATTTGTTTTCGTTATTTAATATCTTCTTACACTACCTTTATTAATTTCACATTTTTTTTCACTCTCTCTGTCTCCCACATTTAAAACCCTCAACAACAACAACAACAAATTTAATCAACTTAGCTAATTTGCCTGCTCTTCCTGAATTTGTAATTAGAAATATGAACTATTATAATGACCTAAAATGATTAGGAGCAAATACCTATTACCAACACATCGTGCGGGTCAAGAGAGGGGAAGAAAAAGAATTCGATTCTCCATGCATACAATGTCACGTTTGAAAGATCATGATTAATTTTCAATCTCTTTTGCCAGCATTATTAATTTTTAATTGAAGTTGATGACAATGCTCAATCCAAATATAATAACATTAAATATTCATCCGATTCTATTTAGGAAAAATGATAGAAAAACTCATTTAAATTATATAATTGACAAATTGGTCCCTCAAAATGGTATAATTCTTCTAGAGTCTTTTGGAATCTTTTTGTCATTGAGAAATCAATTGAAATGATTAAATTGCCCTCAAAGTAAACAAAAATCTCAATCTTCATTGAAGAAAAATTCGCATGCGTTTAGGTTTTGCTTCATCCTATTCATGTTCTCATCTTCTTCTCTGCTCTGTGATATTCTTCTAGTCCATCTCTCTCTCCTTCTTCGTCTCTTCCTTCTCCTTATTCTTCTCATTCTCGTGTTCCTTTTTTTTTAATTTCTGTATATGGGTTGTTTGTTTTGTTTGGCTACTGTACATAGGTATATACTAGCAAGCATTCTTCCTCTATTGCGTTTGCTGTACATGAGTGAATTTTTACTTCTCCTTGAAATTTTTTCCTCTCATGTGTGATAGTTAAAATTAATGCGGGTTAATATACGTAAATGATTGAGGTCCTTATTTTTTTTCATGATTGAGGTCTTCATTTTCTCTACTGTACATGAATATAGATGCTTACTCATGGATAACTGATAAATGATATATTATTTTCAATTGTATTGTAAATGCATAAATTAAAGCTGTGAATAACTAATATAAAATTGTGAATATAAAAAGAATAGTTATTGTTAGATAAAACATATCAAATATGTGATTATGATGTTCGGAGAATATACATGTTGATGAATGATTATTTCATCATTTTAGGTTGGTATGAGAGATGACTTCTTTTGCTTCTAGTTTTGAAAATGAACTATTTTGTTTTTTTCACATAGTAAGATATTTTGTAAAAAATATTGAAGATAAAATGTAATATAATGGGAAAGTGTGAGGATAAAAATGATAAGAGAAGGGATAATATTAAAACATAATGAACAATCATTAATGCTTTCGAAGGTTAACTCCTATAACCTCGTTCTGATAAGTTTGATATATTAATGAAGGCTGTCTCTGGTCAAGGAACATAATCACATTAAAATTTTCGATACAGTACACTAGGAAGCCAACTTGTGAATGTTATCAAAGTTTTGCATTGATAACTCACTCGGCATTTTTTTTTTAAGTATGATGAGAAGGCTCTATTAATAGCAGAAAATAGTTCTTCTGTTGAAAACAATGAACATACATCTTCTAATTAAATTAAATTGTTACATAGATAAAGGTTAGGATTTGAACTCACAACCAGTCACTTTTACAATCTATACCATTTACATCAACTATAGTTATGCCTCACTCGATTGAATAAACAACGTATTGATTTTTTTTTTTGCCCAACAACACATTAATTAATTAACGTATACTAAATCTTATGAATCCTGCCATAACAGCACCAACTAAGAAAAAAAGAAATGAACGCACAAGACTAAAAATTATCAGACATAAAATATATAAATATGGGAATTGTTCAAATTTCGAATAAAACTCTAGATTACTTCATAAGAGTACATGAATTCTACAATAAAGGCTACTCAGCGTGCATCCTATTCCTGTTTCATCGAGAAATAAACTCATATTGTTCTTAGATTAAATTCTACTCATGGATCATATATAGTAACTATGCACGTGTTCTCGTTCACGTCTTTCCCCTTATTCTTGCGACGAACGACAGGAAGGATGGGAACAGAATATAAGAAGAGAGAATCCAGAGACTGCGGTGATAGATGGGGATGGAAAGTACAGAGAAATGAAAGTACTGAAATTAATTAGCAACTGCTGTGTATACTTAATCTGGGAGACTTGGCTTTCCTTGCATCGGCGATAAGCGCATCGCGAGCTGCAATAATCATCCTGTGAGAACCCAGGAGGGCATCGAAAGTGGAAAACTCGATCCAGTCCTTCATCATCTGCTCCTGCCCCCATTTATCCGGAATCTTCACCTTCCCGGCTACATCGTCTCTGTGCCTCTTGAGCCTCTCGCGACCCTCGTCTTCTTCAAAAGAGCTCGCGGACGAGTCATTCGGCTTCCTAGCTGCGGGCGGTGGAGTGGGATTCCTGCTGCTGGCAGATCTTGAATCTTCCATTGACGGTGAGGCGAGAGAGATGGAGAGCAGAGATGGAGGAGGGGAGAGATTTATGAGAGGGGAAGGAGAAGAGAACGAGTGGGGGTTTAAGAGCACACGTCATGGTAACATGTAAATAGCGTTTGTATGGCATGCGACGTCTCTACGTCTCGCGCTGGTCTTGGAGACACCATTTGTGTGGTTTACCTCTGACGTTTCCCGGATCTTCTGTACCCTCTTTGGGGTTTTTTTCATTTGTGAGGTGGGCGGCCACTGTCATCGCACGTCATTTTTTCACCTTTATTTTTTTTTTAACTATTTTTCTTAAAAGATTCTTAAAAATCAACTGAATGGATAAAATATTATAAAAGATGGACGAAGAATTCTTGATCCCAGCAAGTTAAGTTGAGGAATAACAAGTCCCTTGAAGAATCAGTAACTAGATTAGTTGTAATGTATTATACATAACAAGTAATTTAATGAAATTAACAAGCACATTAAATTAATTTTTTTTAATAAATAGTGTACTTGATTTTATAAATTATTGTTAACATACACACTGGATGGAGGATATTCTAGTCATTTTGTTTTAGAATTTTATTTTAATTCAAACCTAACATCAATGTAATTTCATATTGTGCTCAACCTAATTTAAAAATATATCATATCCGTGGTTCTCAGTTGAAATTTTTCCTAAAATATTTTTTTTTTAAAAAAACAACCTAGTATTGAATTCTTAAAGACATTTAAAAATGAAGTGAACTTTAGAAATGTTCAAGAACTTTTCAAGCTTGATTCTTCTTTCTAAATAGTTTATCCGTTTGGTCATCATTATTCACAAATTTCACTCTTTTTATCATTTGAAAATTGAAAGTGAGATGTTTATTTCATGTCTAAATGTGTACAATATATTGTAAATTTAATCTACGTTTTATATTAGACCTAACTTGTCCAAAGAGATTTTTTTTTTAAAAAATAAAACTGGTCCATTAGAGATTAACAAAGTAAATTAATCAAATATATATAAACATAAAACATGTCACAACAAACAGACACTACATCCAAATTGATTTCTGATGGGAAAGACAAGGTTAAGGACTAGAATGAGAATAGGCAGCAGATATTTTTAATACAATAAATGCATTAAAAGTATGCATCAATGTATTTATGGTTAATGCATTGTTTGGCTTCCGGAGGAAAATAGGAAAGAGAGAAAATGAGTGAAGAGAAAATCAAGAGAAGAGAAAAATGGAGAGGTACAATTTTTTTTTTTATTGTAGTTGGCTGAGCGAAAGAAAACAAGGAAAAGAAAAAAGTTATTAATTTTATATATATGGACAATAATAACCTTATTACTTATAAAAATATTTATATAATAAAATTTAATATTTTATCATCTATTATTGATTGAACAAAAGCACAATTAAAAATTATTTTATCCAATAATGACAAAAAAATATTTGTCCAATTTAAAATTTTATGTATTAAATTATTAAATATATAAGAATTTAATAAATATAAGGTATTTAATTAAAAATTAATCTGAAAATTTAGAATTAGCATTTGTCTAATTAATCTAAAAATTAAATATACTGCTTATTTAACAAAAATTCCTTATTAAAATGTAACTATACTACAAATATCATGATAAAAATAGAGAGAAGTAAAAGGTAGCAATAAAAAATTTAGTGAATAAATTTAAAATAAAATTTTCTCTCCAAAATCTTCTCATACTTAGAGAGAAAAGTTAGAGTAAAAACATATGGATCCCACATATTTTTCTCTTACTTTTTTCTTTGTAGTTAAGCAGAAAGAAATATTGTTCTCTCTCTACTTTTTTTTCCTCCTCATTTTTCTCTCTTGCCAAACATAGCACAAGGCAAATTAGTCATATTTTGACGGAGGATTACCTTTATCATATGAACCTCTTGATCAGCGCAAAATGTATAATCTCTTTTCCTTTAATTCGAATTGCCGTTTCCAACTACGCTTAATTAATGTTAATGGCAAGAGCCTATTTCTTTCTGACTTTTTCCACACTTGTTGCCAAACACTATAGTTCCAACTGGTTAGATGCAGATCAAACCAAATTGATTTCCTTGATTAATAGTGTCATTTCGATTTCAAGTTTGCGCACAAGAATATCGCATATCACATGCATGTTAAAATGTCATGGTCGAATGTTATGAACTTTTGCGAATAACCTTTGGGGCATCTCCATTTTTAACGATTAATTTCAAATTGATCGATATTAGTCTTTGTTGTTGCAACTTATTTTTAAATACTATGCTAAAAATAACTCATATTTCAACTGTTCAACGCTTGGACTGAAGCAAAGAGCAGGTGGCTCGCACTGTAAGAATCAATACATGGATTTCTATTCCAATGTTTTTCAGCTCCAGCTGAGTCCATTCAAATCCAGTTGTTTGCAGCTCACCGCAGCATCGGTTTCTTCACGGGTGTTGAGGTCCAGTCTTGATGTTGCGAAGTAAGGCAATCTATACTCCTGAGGTACCTTTTCTTCCAGTGGTTTTATTGATTCTTGTTTACTTGCGTTTCGGTGTTGGAACTCACCACCTGACTCTCTCCCCATCATTAGTCTCTCAGGATACATGCTGCTTCCGTTATTCTCGGTTTCTCGTTCAAGTCCGATGCTCATAGATAAGTCGCTGGGACTTCTTTCGGCAGCGTAACCTCTTCTTTCCGCACTCTTACCCAAAGAATTGCTCAGAAAGGTGCTGTTCCTTTTCACTTCATCACACCACTTGAGTTCAGAGTTCCTTAAGATGGGTGCTTCCATGGCTCCCTTTCTTTCCATGAATGAATGTCCATTGAAGGATCGTAAGCCCATCCCTGCATTTTGTATTTCTTGATCCTTTTGAGATCCATCGCAGGATGTGAGGCAGCTGTCCATTGAGCAGTCGGTTGGCTGGTTGTTTTGTGTTTGCTGTGGGCAGAATCCTTGTAGTTCCTTCAGTTCTGAAAAGGCAGAACTCAAGCACTGAGAGGATACTTTGGACACAAGTTCTGAGAGTTGAACTTTGGCTGCTTCAAGTCCCACTACCCCCAAATTCTGTCTACCAAGTGTTTCTTGAGCTTTCTCAAGCACAGCCTGCAGGTATTTCCCTTGGGCCTCTATGCGAAGCTGCAAGTGTCTCTGCACCTGGATGGGTTCAGAATGATTTTGTCAGAGTTTTTCAAAGCCGAAGAAACTTTGGGACTGTATAAAACAAGGAACAATGATAAATTATAATTCCATCGGCCACTTCACCTAATTTTGAATTTGATAATTATAATTCAAAAATATGAAATTTTATTTCTTATAATTTGATCTCTGCGATTAAACCATTAGCATGTTTTTGTGTTCTGTTTACATGTTTAATTATGTGTCATGCATATTATTCATATCAACAAAAGGGATAAACTAGATAGCAGATTTAATTGTCTTATGTAATTTGTGATGTCATCTTTGTTAAATAGCATGTGTCAGTTGGCAATCCCCATATAAAGTAATCTTGTAGGAAGCTTCTTCATAAAATAAGCCTATGGGCAGTAACAACTCAATTATACACTTTCAAAAAAGTGTAGGAATGAAATTCAAAATTAAGTGAAAAACCATATGCGCCAACGAATTGATTTGACAAAGTGAGTAGAACTTTTAGTTTAGAGCTTTAATGGAACAAAGAAAAGGAAAAAAGCCCATGCATGATGGCAGTGACTCGCACCTCAAGTTGTTCATTTAGCCTTCTCTGCACCTCAATCTGCATCTGCAGGGCCTCGCTTATGTGTAAATCTCTGGGAAAAGAGCAATGGATTTGTTAGAACCCAATAAAATGATTAAATTTCTAATTTTACGAAGGAGCATGTGAAAATGATGAAATTTTCTTACTTGTTAGCTTGTGGCCCGAGGCTTAAATTATTCATATGTGTTCCACTTGTTTCAGAAAGTCTTTCTGCCGTTGCTGCACCTGCATTAGTTGCTGGTAAGATAAGTTTGTTCGTCATCAACGAAGCTTCGTTGTTCATAATTTGCTTGTCATCAAATTGATAAGCGGAAGAGATTGTTCTCTTACTGATTTTGTGTGTCACGTTGTTACTTTGTCCATGCAGATTCTTGCTCAATCTATACTTCTGAAGATGAATAAAAAGGAAGAGATCAGCAGTTGTTATGTGGATTTTACGCCGTATGACTTAAGGCGAAAAAGAAGTTAATAGGATAAGTGCAGATTATACAAAATATATGAAATTGGCATTAAAATGGCAATTCGATTAGCAACACTATACAAAATATTCCATACATGTAATTTCGTGACCAAATATGAAGCATCTGTGAGAATATGACACATTATGGTGAATCACGGATATGATAATGTTTTATACATAGTTTATATACACAATTTATTTCTTCAATGTGATCTGTGATATAGATGTAATCACTTTCTGAAATGTTTGAGTTAGTTACCTAAAATGAAGTTGGAAAAAGATGGTAGTTTCCAAACTTCATGTATGGATAGAGGGCAGGGGAGAAAAAAAGGGATGCCAACCTCCTTAATTTGCAATATTGTATTTTTGTTTTTCGACAGCTTTACGATTCAATATAATATATATATCTATATATAATGTCGGCCAAACACACACACACACACACAATGATATTTTAAAAAGCCAAGCATTCTGTAAGTGGAGATTTTGGTTAGCATGAGCTAGAATTGATTAGCTGTGAGTGCACTTTCTCGAGGAGAAGAGTGAGACTAAGATACCACTCAATGACTGGTAAAAAAATGCATGCATTTGAGATGGTAGATCTAAATTGACAATCTTGCAATTAAAATATATATATATATATATATAATTCAGACCTCAATATTATTACCTGAAGATGGCTCTTTAGATGATACAAAGTAAGCCCTGGAATTCCCATGAGTTTCATTACTGTCTTCGGAGTTGCTTCTGCAGGGAAAAGGATTGTACTATGCATCAGTAAATAAAAAATTCTACAGGATATTATATTATTTTGATGATTCACAAGAAGATTGTAAGTACTCACTGTCAGCTCCACCTAGCTGATTGACCGCTTCTATAAACCTGGCATGAAGATCTGCTGTCCATTTCAATCTGGGCTTAGCATCAGTAGAGAGGACGAGTCCAGAATCACCAGAGCCATTTCCAGTTTGAAGGAACATGTGCCTCTCAGCCGAGATTGGCATTCTGGAAGAAGAAGAATGGATGTTCTTTCCTTGGTGTTGGTGATGATGGTACATGATTCTATTCTTTGGGTCAGTTTGCTAACTCTGGAAGGTGGAAGTGGAACTTGATGATGCTCTATCTTCAACTCTTATTGCTTGGTCTGACAAACAAGTTAAACTTCTTACAATTTGTTGTGATTGTCTTATTTCTTTTCTTCCCATATGTCAAACTGATATTTATATCTGAGAGATGGTGAGGGAGTTAGTAAGTAACGCATGGAATCTTGGATAGAACCAATTGAAAACCAAACTTAATCCTTTGTGTGTGGTGACCTGAGAAATACAGATATTATTCCTTCCTACTTTTGCTAACTTGCGTGGGCCCTGTTTTCTTAGTTCCATTTTCCATTCTCAGACTGCAAGTGCAAACTTCCTAAACACCTCAGACCTTGCATTAGGTTCCAGAATCGATCCTTCAAATTTTAACCCACTGACATTCTTATTCGTTTGCTAGACTAAAGTAGGAATCATATTCCCAAATTTGAAAGCGAATTTCCCCCCCTCCCTTTTCTGACTTGGTTCTGGGGAAGCCAATATCCCTCTCAACTCAGAGCCTTCATGGCTCATCCTTTAACTTTTTTGGTTCTGATGGAGTTGTTAGTTAGAGCTTAAATCTTGAGTTCCTTAATTTGATCTTGGGGGTTATTTTATCAGTCCTCAACGTACTTAGCCCTTTGTTGGTATGACGAAGTGGTTTTATTTTAGTGAATGGTTATCTACGGTAAATGAAGCAAAAGTAAGACATGAAAGAACGTCTTAATTGGTTGTATATGGGAACCTGGAAGAAAGAATCCATTGACTAAAGCATCTTGAAAATCTGCAGCAACCCATGCAAGAAAATGATACAATAAAATAATATAAAATAAAAATTTGAGAAGATGCTTCCCATGGGACTGCTTGTGGAGGTAAGGAATAGAATAAGAATACGTTCTGTTTTGTCTGCTTCAATAAGTTTGGTACTTATTCAGCCCCCACCGTATAAAATAGGAGAAAGATGGGCCCTAGATTATTCATTCTTTGTTTGGCACAAAAACGCAGGACCCATCCTCTAGAATCCTAAGAAGGTGGGACCTGATTATAAAGAGAAAGCGGGGATTGTACTTTCTTCTATACTTGCATTTGGTTAAATACAGTACTACAGCAAAGGACCACTTGCCTCTGCCCCTTGACTTTGTACCTTGGTTAATGAAGTAGATTCTCATTTATGAATCCATACATTTTTCCGTCTGTGATCAGCTTTTCAATTTCTTGCATTGTTCTTATCCGCTTGAACTTGTTGCAAATTATAATAAAACCGTTCTTTGTCCTTCACTTAACAGCTTAAACTTTTAAGTCAAAGAAGTAAATGGCTTGGTATTTAGAGTTTCTCTGACCAAATAATTTGAAGTTTGATCCTTGAGTTTCATGATCAAATGATTTAGAGTTCAATCCTTGTCTTTTCTTTTCCTCTTAAGTAAGCCTGAAGGAATTTTGACAGCAGGTTAGATCTTATAATAAAACCATTCATAGGCTTTTATTTGACAATTTAAGCTTTTGAGTTAAAGTGGTTCTTGACAGAACTTTTACTAAAATCATACTCATAGAAAACATAATCGTGTATATGGACCTAAATGATAAAAGATGAAGTTGTCCATTTGGTAGATCACACTCTTAGAGTTTTTCCCACTTTTAAGCTTTTGATGTAATTGGCTTTTGCCTTTTGTTTCTGTACAGTTTTCTTAATGAATTCCCTTTTACTCAAAAAAAAAAAAAAAGATGAAGTTGTCCAAACAACTGCATGTGAGAGTGGTGGGCAATGGATGAATTAGTGTATGTAGAGCTGTGCATACGGGAACAATAAGTGCATAGCATATGCCATGCTAAGCCATTTAAAAATCGTATCAGAATCTGATTCAGTTTTAAGACCAACGCATCCCACAAGCAATGCATGTGTACACTGCATGCATGTCTTCATTATTTAAATAGGAGAGATTACTTTTACAATAATAGGAAGTAATGAAGTACTGGATGATCAAAACATCAGGAATATTATATAATGATCACCAGCTAATGCAGAATAAGTTGGATTACATGTATATGTCATAAAAGACCAGACCACTTGTTGGACACTGATATAAAAAAGTAGCAGCTTATTCATAGACTGTATCTGATATGCCGGTACCTATTCATCAGGTAATAAAGAGATCTGTAAGACAAACATTTATTATTCATAGATAACTTAATAATCATGGAAAGAAATTAACTGAAGATTCCTTGAACAGTATCTTCACATCACTTCTCCTTGTTCTTGTTCTTGATTCTGATTTTTGGAATATTTAATGTGGCCATAGGGAATCTGTGGGTAAAGTTAAAGCTGAGTTCCTAAGTAGTCTTCTGTCATGTGGATTGGAATAATTTGGGCAAGAGGATTGATTTGGTACTCTCCCATCCCTCAAGTGGACTTAATATAGCCACATGGCAAATTCTCTGTATCACGGTATGAGAAACCTATCATGACAGCTTAAAGAATTTGTCATTTGATCCTATAAGGAAATTACCTACTCTAGCCATCAGATGTCTAGCATTAGTTTGGTGCTGCAAAAATATGTGGTATATTAGGTCTGATGTCGTCATGATAATGGTAAACATGAAGCATGAAACAGGCTATTGCTAGTGATCAGGAAGAAAACATAATTTGGAGATGCTATCATTGATAATATTTAATCCCCTACAAGATTTTAAAAGCGAATAACAAACCCTTCTCTTTTATAAGCATTTCAGCTCAGGACGTACAAGTCATTTAAGTTATATTTAAGATGTATTATCACTTGCTAACACAGAGGATGGGAATGGAAGAGGATAAAGGGAATTAACTTTAGGCCTACTTTTCCCTATTGCATCTACCAATTGAAGAAGTCTTAGTCTAGCATTGCTTGTTTACTTTCATATCATCGTTGACCGTCCAATTAGGGGTTCTGCACTTAGCAGTATCGATGATGTCTTGGTGTTTTTATGCAGCCATAATTAACCATTCAGTTTCTAAATCTTTCACATACTTGTTTTTTCAGCTCAGAGAATGATTTGGTGCTGTTTGGAGTTGTTCGTCATTTCTAGAAATTGTAAAGCTGTGATACGTAGAATTACTTTGTTCCGCGTCTTTCATGTCAAGTTTCTATTGGACCATCTTTCCCATATTGGCAGTCATCTTCAGTTGATGCTTTAAATCTGTCCTTATTACTTTCAAGTCTTATGCTCCTTTCATGAGCCTGCCTTTGTACAGTGGATTACTTAGCTTTTGTGAATAGTAGTATCCAATTCATCCGTCTTCCTTTACCTTCTTCAATATGGTGGATGTCCCACCAATGCCAGTGGACTTTTTTTTTTTTTTAATTCTTGTTGGTACTTAAATTTCTTTCTTTTTTATATTATCATAGATTGATTCACTTTTAAGTGCGAGAAGAACTTCCAATGAGCAGCACAGAAGGGCATACATATAATCAACTTGAAAACTAAAGTCAGGAATAAGGGTCGGGTCTGAAGGGCCGAGCTTAGAGGCCCTATTTAAATAAGGATTCGGGCTTTGAAAATAATTTTTTTAAAAAGTAATCGAGCTTAAGAGCTTGGTTCTAATAAGCCCTGCAAAAAAAGGCTCGGGTCCGGACAGCCCTTCAAGCTTGTTATATTATTATTATTATTATTATTATTGGTGGAACACGTGTTTGAAGCTAATGACCTGCTCACCTGATCCTACACACATTATATTATTATTAATTTTAATTTATTTTAAAATTGATTTAATATAATTTAATAAATATTAGTGTATAGTATAAAATTTCTGAAAAATGTGTTGCTTAATTTCTAAAAAATTGTTAGGATTTTGATTTTTTTAATTTTAAAATATTTCAATTAATTTATAATGTTTAATTTTATTTTAAATTTTTTTATTTTTTAAAAAAAGACTTACGGGCTTAACTCTGAGCCGGTTGGGTTTGAGAAATAAGGCTAAAAATAAAAAACCGGGCTTTAAGACTCAGGTCTTTAAGGACCGAACTCGCCCGCATTTTCAACTCTAATGAAGACTAGTAGTGATCAGTTATGAGCCAAACCGTTCGCTGGGACAGTAAGTGGTTGCATTTTACCTGCTTTTTCCCCCCAAGTGTTGGAAAGAAAATGAAATTCATTGTAGCCTTGCTCCAAAAAAAATTAACTCAAGTAAGATTCGATCTTAAGGCCATACGGCCAATCATACACCGCATGATCATCGGCCTCAACCACGAGACCGTGATTTTGTTGTTACCGTGATGGCATTGGATGAAATGCCAAGGGAGAAATGACCACGGAATGCTATTCTCACGGGGAAAAGAAGAGAGAAAATAAAAGCAGAGAAAATGAAAGTTTCAAAGATTCTGGGGAATAAGAATGAGAATCTTAACTCAGACTAAAGCCCATAGGTCATATTCTCAAGAAAAGAATACGGTTATTCTTTTTCTTCGAAAGCCACAAAAAATGGATTCTCACATCCCCACCCATCCTTTTACTTGATGTTATCAGATGCTCTTAAAGAATTCATTATTGTGACTCATGACTGTCATCTCGGTAATAGTAGTAAAACTGCTATCTTTTTGAGGGGAATTTCTTTTTTTATAGATTGTTTTATGTTCTCACAAGATTTGGGTTTGCCTTCTACTTTTCACCCATCATGCTGCTGGGAAGTGACCTAGTTGACATTTGCACTGCTCTCCATTGTGATTCTTGTCTAGCTGTCTCTTCATTTGGATGATTCCAGTACTTTTTTCCACTTGCTTCTTCCCACTTTGTTTCTGATGGTTGGAAGCAGGGTCCTTTTGTCCTAGTCTTCACGGCTTTTTTTAAAATTATCAACCAGTTGTCTTTTTCTTTTTTTGAAAATTTACTATATATATGATTATGATAATTTTGCCAATAAGACCATGTTAGGTCTGATAGGATGATTTAAAAGACTTGCTCAAATTCCATGATATGTAGATATCAAAATTGAGAAAGAAATCAAAGAATATGATTCGATGGAAAAGGCATAAGGTAAAGAGTTCCCACTTCCCGGAAGATGATGATGCACTGATACAGCTACAAATACCATCACATAACATGACAGCAATTGTCCCGGGGGAAAAAAGAATTAAATGCTCAAACCATTAAACTTT